TTAGTGTCTTTATCTTATCGAATCTTCACAGATGTTTGGTCGGTATTCGGATCTCGTTCTGTGCATAATTGGATAAGCGTTTAGCTTTCAGTTTCCAGCGGAAATTGAGGTTACTGAGGTGGGTGTTTTTTTAAGAAGGAAGATTTCGGTCGGAAGTTTGCACACCCTCATTTGGGCGTATTCCGGCGCACGTAACCTAAAGACGAAAGGTCGTGTGTGTTTATAACAAAAATATGTATTTCGATTTCGGTGAGGTGTACATAATCGAAAAATTCAATTTTATGTTTACTGTGATTTTATTGGAGTGTTGGGTTAGATATGAGTGGAGAAGGCGGCGTGAGGAATATAAATCGAAGGGAAATTTTGGTGGAGGCGCCGGGATATCATTAATTCCACGTTCGAACGGAAGTAACTGACGTATTTTTATAACGATACATCTGTAATTAATTTCAATAAATAAATAAATACCCAAAAATACACACAAGCAGTAAAATTCTTAACGTTGTAAGCACTCTAGACAAAATTAGAACAAGTCGTAAACACTAACTTTCTTTGAAAATTCCCTAGAGTCATCGCCCTGGCGAAAGTTTTTTCCATCGTACGCAACACAAAGCAATTATTTTTACTCACTTGTTAGTGTGCTACAAACACCAGCCTATTTGTAACTGCGAAGGAAACATCACCAGCGCGAGTCCATAGTGTGAAACAATTTCCGGAGCGTGAAGCGTTTATCTTGCACATTCCAATGCGTACCTTCCATCATTCGGTTCGATATCAGACAATTTAATGGAGAAATGCCTCAGCCATCTCAAACACTACCAATCATAACTCCGTTAACAGAATGCCCGTAATGACGCATGAATGTTTATTACATCTTCAACAATGACTTGAGGTGGAAGAGCAGGGCGGAGGAGAGAAGAGGTACGTCATTTATTCTTCTCAGTAGAAACTCTAGTGTCGTATCAAAGGGAAAGATAAATTATTAAAAGGGTCCTCTGACAACTTAAAACAAGACATTTAAATTGGTCGATTGTGTTTGCCTTTTTGCGAGGGTAGGCCCTTGTTTCCTGGAGAGGAATGTGGCCGTGATTAAGTTATTTATTTCAACTTATTCAACAAGTTTCGAAATTGCCGTATCGGACTTTTCACGAAAACGTATTAAAAGAGTTATTGACAATTTCTGGGACCTCATGGATCTCTTTGCCCTATCAGCCGGAATTAATTCTTCCTTAATAAACTTATTACAAGTTTTCTTGTTTGATTTATGTGTTCTCGTCGTGGTTATTTCAATGTTGTGTATACAGTGACGCGTTCACTAGATGTAAAATGGATAGGTTCTGCTGGGAATTGGTTATTAAAGAAACTTTGACGTAAGAAATTATTTTGATATTTTGAACGTACAGAAAGTTGGTGCGAAACTTTAAATTAGATCCTCGATAAAATGTATCTGGGAGCGCCCCATCTTTGTCGATTTTTGAAACGAATTGAAAATATTTCCGGTAGATTTTGCTTTTGAAGTTTTTGGGGCCGTTTCAATTAGGTTCTTTGACGTAAGTACGAGATAAGCTAATTCGATTATACAACTTTTGGATGTTCCGTAAACTCATGGGGTAGTATCACGGAGTGGAGAGCGAAAGAGAAAGAGCATACACATAATTGTGAAGTTAATATTGTGCTTGAAATGTACGCAGTGAAATTAACGTTTGCCTGAATGTGTTATACTCAGTGACATAAATTAGGCCGAAAAGTTGACTAATAATGTTGGTTTTTATGTTTACTGGTTGAGCACTTTTGTTTAAAAAAAAATGTAAACACCTTTCTGATTTTAATTACGAACGACTTCGCAATAATTTCATATTGAAGTTACACAAAGTAATTAAATAATATTCTTAATGTTTTAATACTATCGGATCCCAACACCTATTATACTTACACCTTGAAAACAGACAATGAGTGTCACCGCTTACAACACACATGTTAACAATAACTTACGGAACGCAAATTATATTAAAGCAAAGTTGGATGTTATTCAAACGAGTTTTCTCTTTCTACCTACGTGTTTTTAGGAAATTTATTGTAAAAATCAGGTTGTTAATTAAATTAAACAGACGTTTATTCACGCGGATGCGTCTATAACCTGCTGCAATCAAATGAAAGACAAACGCAATCAAAAACACATGTTAGAACAACGGCACATTTTATAAAACAATAATAAATGAACGACGGATTAACATGGCGTATCCTAACCCAGGTCAAATGAGGTCAAACTGGTTCAGGAGCCCCACTACTTTTTTCCAGATGTCTGACATCGCCTTGTGTTCGGTTAACTTCGGTTTGTGGTTGCTCAGAATCGCGTTATATCGCTATCCCCTCACATAGTAATAGGAAAGTAAAGATTTATAAATAAAATAATTAAGTGTAATTACGCTAGCCGAGCGGTCTAAGGCATCAGTTGAAATTCTCAAAAGAGAGCGTGGGTTCGAATCCTACGCCTGACAATTTTTTTCATCGATTATAAATTAAATACAATACCTTTTAGTTCTTTAATGGTAAGATTACAATTTAAAATAGTTTTGTGTACCACATATAAAAATAATTTACCTGGTTTCAAGTCCGTCTTATTCTTGAAGTATAAGGATGGATTTGCCTGACATTGAAGATCATCCGTTTAAGCTTTTACGAAATTTTTCATACTGATTCTTGCATAGGACTCGCTTTTAGCAGACGAATGCATCTATTTGCTTTTGGCGAGTCGTTCTGGCTCTTGACTGAATAGAAAATCTTCTTACTTAAAATGGAACGTCCTTTAGAATAATTATTATTCCAGTACAATGTGGAAAGAAAATAGATATCCTCGAGGATTACAATGTGTAGCTATGTTGTCTGTCGCCATAAGTACTTAAGTAGGTTGCAATCCAACAAACAAATTCAATGTGGAGTTTTTAAAAATCAGTTTTAGAACTTCCTTGTGTTATGTGAGCTAATACAATGACTAGAAAGTGGAGAACTTGGAACATATGCCTTATTATTTGTCCAAACTTAATTAGGATAAGTGCAGAATGTTTCCTATGTTTTGTCTGAATATAAAGCGCCTCGTCTATTAGACTTGCAATACCAACATATTTTACATTAATACGTACCTATAACATGTAGCACATTTAAATTATTTATGACAATTCAAACCTAATCCCGCGGAAAATTTCAATGAAATTCCGAATTTACAACTTCGCTAACATTCAACGAAGTTTCCAGCGAGTGAAAACAATTAAAATAGACTAAATCCTGTAGAAATTACATACACCAAAATAGTATATTAAAGAACGAGTTTCATAAGGCAAATATTGAGGCACGAATCCAAGTTTATAGAACGAGCGGCGAAGCCGCGAGTTATATAAAGGATGAGTGCCTCAATGGCCTTATGAACGAGTTATTTATACTATTTTTTCTACCGCACACGTTTTTTCCCAAAATTTAATTAAAATTTGCACTTTTTTTAATCTGGGGACTTTTGTCGTGGTTGGTGATGGATTGGTCTGACACTAACCACGAAATATTTGAGGTTCGAATTTTCACAACAACAATTGTAATTCGAATCAATTCGAGTTTTCGTAATTTAAAATTGGTTAAAATGTCTTGCGAAGAAGTTACGCGTCCGGAAACGTGGGAAATTTTAAGTTTAGATTTGCCACTGACATTCACCTGACATTTCTCGTCATTGCTACCAATCTTACCGATCTAAATTACACCAGATCTATTAAAGAACGCCTTTCCGCTATTAACGAACTGCTGTGACGTCATTTGCGTGCGTTAATAGCTCTATTAGAAAACCAAAAAACGTGGGCGGTAGAAAAATACATTTTCTGCATGACTACAATTTTGTGACAGATATACTTGGAATATTATTTTTTGTATTCACGAAAATGACAGATAGGTCTTAAGTAACAAGTGACAATAGCAGGTAGCTTGCTATATTGGCCGGTCATTTAACAATCGTCACTAACCCTGCTAACCATAATCACGTTATAAAATTTTAATGGATACAAAAATAACGTTCTGAGTTTATATGAGCGCAAAAAACATATAGGTGATCATTTTTATTTATAAATAAACGTAAGCATTTCGTAAACGTACCCAAATAACTCCGAAATACTAATAAGACGACTGTAAATTACAAAGGGGAAAGCTTGCTTTAGCAGGGATAAAAAACATGGCTTTGTGCATTGAACAGGGGTAATAAAAGACTGATAAGAATTGTTAATAAGATATGGAAAAGAGAAGAATTCCCAAAGCAACAGAGAGCGAGGTAAAAGAGAAAATTGTAATGAGCTTACACAATAAAATCAATAAAAGCAAAGCCTTCTCCATAGTTTTTCTGCTGGTGACATTTGCAACGGTCTAGGGTTAGTTTTTTACGTAGGAGCTTCCAATATTCCATTTAAACATGAACAACGACCATCACTAACTTCAAAGCAATGTTTCTTACACTCGTTTGCGTTGCAGAGCAATAATTTCTGAGTGACGTCATCACGATTCTAGTGGGGACGGTTAAGGTACATAACTACTTTAAATATTTCGTTAACCTTTTAGTACCCATTTGTGTGAGTTTATATTTTTTGTATAATAGCTTATTAAGGATAAAAATAGCTTGAATTTCGCCTCTCTCGAACTCTACCCTGTTGCTTCAACATGAAATCTTTGTCCGCATTTAATGAACTTTCCTCCATCCGCAAGGAACAAAAGAAGGCGCTTTCGATTCAAGGAGCACTTAGCGGGCACCTGTGCACGGGAGGTCCTGTTAAGGACCCATTTTGCACTTCCGCAGATGTAACCGGCCTAATTTGGGCATCTCCCAGTCGAATGCATAATTCATATCGCGATGACGTCGTTTTATGAGCGTCTGGATGCAAGTGTTCCAAATGCGCGCGCGTCTTTCGGCGTCGGGACGGAAGGACAACAGAACGTCGGAGGGACGACAGTGGGTTGGCGGCAGCAGACTGAGTGGCGTCCCGTAGTACGAGCTGCCGCCGCACGTGTAAATTAAGTCCCACATTAAATTTAATTAAACGCACAAAACGGAAATCAATCATATCTCGTAGTTTTTACGGAAATTTAAACATGTGTTTCATTCAAGAGGTCGCACGTTCCTGCGGATTCGCCCCCGAAATGAAGAAATAAAAAGCGAACGTGGAAACTTGGAATTGTGATACATTTACTGTGAATTGTGGCAGATGTAATGGTGCTCTTTTTATGCGGTGTTCAAACGGAGGTGTGATTTGGTTAAGGGTGTTCAAGGGTAAGGTTTAGCGTTGGATGATGATGAATGATGTGTTCCGGTGTAGGTGGGGGCGGGGACGGGAGGCAATTAAAAGTTTGTAATTAGTGTTGACCTATCGGCGGCCGGTGAAAGCTTTTCTTGTGTGGAAATTGAAAGAACAGGTGAAGTTAGTTAGAATCATTTATTTTTGACCGGATCGTCATAGTTTTGATTTCGGTTTTCCAGATACTGCGCAACGATGGGGAAACGACGAAGGACTTGCTCCTGACGTTTAAACTAATGAATAACAAAATAAAACGTACACAGAGACTATTCGAAATTTGTAGGTGTGGCTTGAACGAAATTTACATAAATGGGAGCTGCGTTCAGATATTTGCTCAGATGAAAAGCACACATCCCTTTTTTTTAATTTCGGAGGTTTTTAATTATCTTTGTGTACATATCTCTTATTAAGATTGTGATTTTGTTGGTTTTTCCCATTCGGTTGTTTTGTAATTGCCGTCAAGAAAGTATAACGCCCATGAAGTTGGCGAAAGATAAGAATAATTGAGTCGAGTGAGGTTACAGATAGAAGAGGGTGAAATTTTAAGTAGTAGGCGTGGCAGTGTTGACGCTATATATATATTTTTTTTTCTTTGTTTAACTTGCTGCACTCCATTATCACTATCCTTAAGCGGTGTTGATTACAACTCATTATTGAACTTTTGCCAACTAATAACGAAAAATGAAACTACAGAATGTCGTGGATATTTTAACATATTGCCACCATGTTTTACCCTTAAAAACCAGAATGTCGGCGAACTCATGCCTACATTAAATCTGCGTTAAGTGTCAAATTTGGAATAATAACTCCCAGTTTCCAGCTTGATGAAGTTTTATAATACACCGCAAGTGAATTATCTTCTGTTGTGTGTTTGATAACCGTCCTAGAAAGGTACAAAATAACTAATTTTCTTCGTTTCCTCCTTTTCAAAGTTTTAATTGAAATCGACAGTGCAAAGAGTAAAGATGCTCCAAACAGAATATCCAAACGCAGTTAATAAGGTAGATTAAGAGGCTCGTTAATGTGGATATCAAGGTTAGGGCGCCGTCAGCTGTAAAATGTCAAGCATTTTTTCCGATTTACGACGGAAAGTTTAAGATCTGAGAAAAAACATTTCATCACATGTTTTAATACAAAAATGTGATGAAATTTTACCATATAATGGCACCAGAAATTAATAAATAAGTCTAAACTGGTTTAATCGCTGTTTATTACTTCCACACTGTCATTTCATGAATTTAAAGGGATAAAAACATGAAGATTGGAACGACTAAGTGTTGCCGTTTTTTTATCAATGATTTAACGCCTTTGTGATATGTATTTTATTTATCAAAATGCGTTCGAAATTTAGAATGAAATTAATAAAGAAACAGTGCGCACTCTACTTGGTGTTAATTTTTGCAAAGTCAGCTGGAAATTTCATACAGTTATTTATTATGGCGAGTATTTTTCACATTGACCCATCCAGAAATATCAACAGTTTGTTTCTGATTTATGGCCGCCTCTTTATGAACATTTCGTTTAGTTTTTTTCTAAGATCTTCTCATAAATTTCTGGCTAAACGTAAGAAATACGTACGGGTTGGAATTTGTCTTGCTGGAAAATTCTCTTCGTATAATCTTTTCACTTCTCTTCTATTTTCGATATTCTTAGCATATGAGAATCATATCCAGTTTCTCTGAGACGAAAATCTTTGATTTTTCATTATTTTACACGATCTACTGGTAGTGCTACAAATCGTTAATGCAAATATTAGACGAGAATTTAAGAAACGTCAATTGTTCGCTTTTATTATTTTCCCCAAGCGTTTAAAAAATAAAATTCAGCAAATGTGTTCGATTTAAGACAACTGTAAAACACAACTAAAACTGGTCGAAAGTTTTGTGATGCAAGGACACGTATATCAATTCGGATAAATGGAATATAATACTATCTTACAAATTTTCTGGAAAATTGGGTGAGCCATTCTTGACTTAATCAAGATTTTTCAATGTCATGCAGTTCTAAATAAGGTGTCACTCACAACAGTCATAAACATCGGAATATCAAAGAAAACATTCTCGATTTTGTATTAATTCAAACGCATTTTTCCAAGAAGCCATAAACTCAGAACATGTAACAGAGACGGTCGACATTCACAATTTACGATTACTTTTGCATGCTTGATAACTGACCTAATTTTTTGAATACAAAAAAATATTTCTTAGCATTTAGTAATTAAAGAAAAAGCGAAATTGTCGTAATACAAAAAGTACAGGCCAACAAATTCAGCTTTTTCTAAAATGTTTTCATATGGTTTGTATTATGTACTTGAAGGCCAGTGCCGCTACGAGAAATACTGAATAATAAAAATTATAATAACAACAAACAAAATCAAGGCAAATCCATAAACTACAAGTACAAGTACGCAAAGTAATTCTTAGTAGCATTACAAACAAATCAGCAGCATAAAGTCGGCAAAACTTTGCTGTTCAAGAAATAATATTGAGTTTCAAATTTATTCCACAAGCAGTTTTGGCATTGTGTAACATCGTTTTGCCGTAAAAATCCAAATACATACACTAGTACGTGTGAACTATTGCCAAGGAATAACATCTGTTGGGCCCCAAACATCCATATATATAACAATAACCACTATAAAGATCTAAAAGATCTAAAGAATATTCGTATTGCTTTATGACACAGCGTTTGCCAATAATGTTATTAGTTTTATATTTCATTCGCAGTCGTTGAAATAAACACTAAATTTAAACACACAAAGCTCTAAAACAAATTAAATGTGTTTCGAATTAGTTAGTACCTATTGATGTTACAATACATAATTAATGTCAGATCAAAGTTCCTATTTTTATTATTAATTAATATAAATTAGACGTTTTAGTTTTCATTGAATCGGTTTTGCATGACACGACCCAGCTTATCCACATTGAATAATTCATATTTTAGTACAAAGTATTGAAGCCAATAATCAAACAATGTGGGCGTTTTGGCATTTTTAAAACATTCATTGCTGGCATCGAAATGGTGGATGCGCCGGTTTAAACAATGTGTACAACCAATAAACGGATTTTTGGAATTTGCAGTCTGAAACTAAAGATTCCTGAAGTAAATTTCTAAACGACTCACCGTAAAACGTAATCTACTTACAAGTTTGTGACATATGTCGTCCCAGATGTGTTTGTTCAGAATTCAAATACATATACATAAAGCGATGAAATTTATCAAGTAAACCCCTGCTGACACGCCATAATCACGCTCGACCCTACGAGAAAATATGACTCACCGGAATGTACGATTTTAGATATATAGGCTTTCAGAATAATACCTGAGCATCAGATGTGAAAATTTCTGGAAAGAGTGCTACAACACTTCGTGACTTAAAGTCCCTTCTCCTTTACATTTTTAATCGCAACTTGTTAATTTCTGTTTGTTAAGACAGCTTAGTGAGCTTTTGAAAGTTTCGATGTCGGTTTTGCAACTCAGACTGATGCTAAACGGGGCAAAGGGTTCTTTGTGAGCTTTGTGAAGAAACTTTTGAAACGAAGTAAATGAAAATTATAAAAATGAACTTCACCTAAACGAAAGCGAACGAAAATTTAAATTGAAGATCGCGGATTTGATGTGCAAGCACAAAGTAAAAGTTAACGTGAACGATTTTGATTCATCATAAGCTGAAAGCTCTTTTTCGTAGAATAAAGAACCCAATTCTGAACTTTTTATCCGGCTTGGTTACTTAATTCCGCAAGATTTTCATAAGAAGGTACATCCCCTTTAAAAGTAAGATGCAGAAGTACAGATATGTTTCTCTGGAAGGCAAATCGAGTCCGAGTGCCTTACAAAATTTGAATAGAACAAGTTCTTTTATCTCCGGAACAAACGAATTTCGAGAACAGTTTAATAATTGTCGAATTGTATTATTTTACGAAATATTTTTTCTGGAGATTTTAAAAGGAATTTCTACCCATGTTATTGTTTGAGTTTAAGACAAGCGAGCAAAATGCGTGAACGATGTATAAAAGCAGCCTCCAATCAACCGGGAAATTCTGAAATTGCTTCTGGAAGCGAAAAATTTTCTAATTAATATAAAAGGAGCGATGTTATTTTTATCATCGTTGCTTTAACAAAGGAATTCTTCATGTTTTTTTTTAAGTATTTTGGTTAAAAAATGATGCATATTCGCTTATCGATTTGAGGATGAACAGCTGCATGTGATATGGGATGACACCTTTTGAGGCGAATTTAGCTACATTTGGTTTGACGAAAATAATAAACGAACGAAATATTGAGTTGTCGGCTTTCAGTTGTCGTTATGATGTTCTATTTGCGTAATTAAATTTTATTGTATTTTTAGCTGGTGTTAATAACTTTCGAGCTCAAAATATGAATAAACTGATAAATTTACATTTCTTATTTCTAGCACATGATGGGTAATTCTATTATCAAAAAATGAAGTTGTGGAGTTTGACTAGTTCGCTAATTTTAACTCTAAAATTAGTGCAAGTACGTGCATTATTGCAAAATAAACAGATCAGAAGCCTGCGGTGGAACGCTTTGTGTATTATTTGTAAACTGATAATGAACACCCGATGTCAATTAAATTCGTGCATTATTGGTGCCTGTCTTAAAGCTTTGAATCATTGTTTAAACAGGTAACTATCAACCAAAGCTAATAAAATTTTGATTACTCCCTTTAAAACCTTTTAAAAACTACGCAGACTCAATAGAAATGGGTCACTCGTTTGCTTGTCAAATCATGGATTTAAATAAATTACTTTGATTTGTGTAACTGCAAAATGGACTTAAAATAATTGAAGTCAAGACGGTCAACAAACATAGAAGTAGGATTTTCATTTGTTTCGCAGCAACCGATAAAATTGCCCTAGCTATAATGATTTATAAATGAATTGTGCAACCGCAGCACAAAAACATTGTGTGTATTCGCGTAAAATTCGTCACCAGCAAAATGACGCTCTCG